ATAAAAAAATAACAATGTCAGAAAGAAATACACTGATAGTTAGAAAACGGCAGGGTGTTATATATATGTTAGTTTTATTTCAAAGAGTTATAAAATTACAAAAATTAAAAACTCTCTGTGTATCTATCCACTGGAACCTTGCAGATGAGTGATTAATCTACTGATAAATCAGCTGATTTGACGATGTTTTTCAATGCTTTCTCCAAAGCTTGAAACGCTGTCAGTGATGTCATCAGCACACAAGCAGCCAATAGTGTTCAGCTTTTTCTGACGACTCCTCCCTCAAAATTTCATTGGCTGTGGTTTGGTAGCTTGAATGAGCTGATGGGGAATGAGTTGTTGTCAGATCATGTAGTGTGTGACCCCCCCCCCCCTCTTGTGGATCGTTCACGGAGTGTTGCGTAGTGTGAACACCACAGAGATTAAAAGACACAAAGTCAAGTCATGTAGTGTGAACGGCACAGCGATCTGCTGATGTTTAACATCCTGTAGTGTGAACTAGGCTTAAGCCGACAAGAAAATGAATGAATGAATGAGTTACAGACCACTCTCGCGATTTATTCGGAAATTTATTCCCGCACAGAAATCTGGTCTGCTTCTGCGGTACAGCAGCGGGTATGCAGACCTCTAGTTCATATTTACCACGTCTCCCTTCTCCTTTGGTCAAAACCAGAAATACTACCAAACTTGGTGCGCGACTCGCAACCTCTCCCTCTCTCTCTCTCTCTCTCTCTCTCCTCCACACTGTCCCGTGATGAAATCACGCAAACGTATTTGTAGGCATTAAATAAAGGATATTTAATATTGAATACTTGTCTCCTATTTGTGCATTGTTTTTTATGACGGATGGTTTAACGGTATTGAAACTGACTCCGTTGCTATTGTTAGATCCCGCGATATACCATAATACCATATTACCGCCCAAGCCTACTTATCACCTTAACTCCACTTCTCGTGGACCCAGGCCACTCAGGCAGCTTTTGAGCATTTAAAGGAATTATTTACCACTGCCCCTATTTTTGTGAATCCCAATCCATCGTGTCAATTTATCCTCAAAGTAGACGCATCTAGTGTGGCCGTTGTAGCCATTCTCTCTCAACGAGCTAAAGATAACCAAATTTATCTGTGCGCCTTTTTCTCTCACCGTCTCTCACCCACTAAACACAATTAAGATGCTGGAAATCACGAGCTTCTTGCTATCCGACTAGCCATAGGCAAACAGCGCCATTGGTTAGAGGGATCTATCCCTTTTGTGGTTTGGGTAAGGCATAAAACTAAATAATGTTTGTCCATTTAAATATTGTCAGGCCACAATTTCCCAATAATTCTGATAAGTAGCCCAAACTGTCTATCAACAACTGTAGATTGCACATCTGCAGCTGTTCACAAAGATCAGCTATTTGCGTGTACACATGCGTGCATGTGCATTCACCTGAACATGAGAGAAAAAGAGAAAACAAATGCTTAATAAAAACTATAAAATTGTGAATCATTATTGGAGTTACTTTTGCACGCAGGAGGAAGGATGACACCATGGCTGAAATATTTCTTTTAGACAGGTAATGTTATGTTTTCAAAACTATTTTAGTGACGCAAATCTTATGTAGATTTTGTTGTTACGAATGGGTTATGTGCATGGACATGTTTTTCTAGCCTGCTTTACTGAGGTGAAATTGGTTTATATTCACATTGGTTCATTTTTAAACAATGACAACCTGTGACGTGCTCACTGATTTGTTTACAATGCTACTTTGAATATTTGGCCTGAAATAGCATGCAAGTATGGCTTAGTAATAAGTATAATTCCTGAACAGCAGTCGCTTTAGGACAAAACATGTGAGAGTGTGAGACATTGCACGCATGAAACATTGCACCTTATGACAAGTATTTTGATTTTTCCATCTTTTATCAACCCAGGCGCAAGAACGTTAAATCAGGCGCTTTATCTTGTCAATTTTTTTTCCGCCAAGGATGAGCCATCTGCTGAGACTATTCTTCCTGAAGGGTGTGTGCTAGGAGCCGTGGTTTGGGGTTTTAAATGCCAAAGTCAAGAAGCCATTAACTTTTGCGATTATACCTCATTTCTGGTCTATGAGGAACTTCATTGCAATGACCACTCTTCATGAACAGTTAAGTAGCTACACCAGTTTCTAGGATTCTTTACACATGTTTTATTTACCAGATCAGTTACCTGTTCGCTTCTCTAACCACCCTTCTACATAACCAACCCAATTCTGTGTCCTGGACCATGGAAGCCACCATTGCCTTTCACAAACTTAAAACATCTTAACTACATCTCCAGTATTTGTCTATCCCAATCCTTATCATCTATTTTTGGTGTAGAGATGTGTCCATCAGTAGTGCTGGAGATGCATCCACAAGTGGTGCTGGAGCTGTACTTTCACAGTATTCTGGAAAGTGACCAACTATGATATCTGAATTTATGACCTTGGAGGAATGCTGACACTGGCTGGATGGAGCATAATATCCATTTAGTGTTATCACAGACCAACAAATTCTGAGTATATCTGTGAAGCCAAGTGTGCCTCAACTTCCATCAAGCATAGTGGACATTATTCACATAAAGAGATCTGCTGACACTAGGCAACCCCATGCTCCTACTTACAATCTGGAAGGCAGAGGTTGGCAATCCACTAATGACATTTGTCTTCAACTGCCGCCGCAGGCTGAATCCTTGTTATCTAGAATATTTTACCATACTTAGACAGAGCAACCCGGTTATCTACTGCCTCCAATTACACTTACAGTACAATATACACCCTACAATCCATTATTGCTTAAACCTGTCAATGAACTCACTGTTGCTCCTTTCACAGGGTCTGACAAATACAAGGTATCCCCCCCCCCCCCCAATCTAAAAGATTGCAGAGGTCGAGGGCAAGTTTCTCATGGACTCTCACAGTAGGGGGCAGTATCAAAATTGAATATTGGATAAATTGGGAGGGCTATGGCCCTGAAGAAGTTTCCTAGGTTCCAAGAGACAATCCGTAGCATCAGGTCCTGCACCAACACCACCCCATTCACAATTACCAGAAATCTAACTATCGACACGCTCATCAGCCCTTGTATTTAAGAAGCAAACCATTTCTCTTTGATCAGCGTCTTGTGTTAAACATGCAAAGACTCTTAGTTCGCCATATGTATGCCTATTTTGCATGTATTTTGTTTAGTGTGGTTGATTTTCTCAAGTTATGTTGACCCGTTTGTTTTATTTAATAGTTTCCTACTTGCTTATAATAGGAATTTTCTGTTTGTTTTATAATTATATAGACATTTACATCCTGCAAGAGTTTGATTTTTATTTAGTCTGTTTACTAAATAAATCAGCTTAACTTACCTCTTCCCTTGATTTCAGTTCTCGGTGTCCTGACAGATGGGAGTTCAGATCATTTAAATATAATTTCAATGTTGCCTATTGATCCCTAATCTAATTCAGAAACACACAAACATCTGACATCTTGAACAAGACAAAAGTACAATGCAGCTATCAAATTACAAGAGAAAGTAAAGTTTTTAGGTTTTTTTTGTTTTTTTTTACTATTTTTACATTTTTAAAAAAAGAAATTTTACTGTTACTGTGCACTTGTTTTATTTTTTACTGCTACTGTTTGTGATTTACAATGATTTAAAAAATACTGGGGCCCACTTCATGTTAAATGGCCTTCATTTCTTTGTACTTACATCAGAAAATGAGTAATATGCACTTACTGTGTACATATACTCCACAATACATCGGGTGATCTTGTGAGGTATGGGTAAGGTTAGGCACAGGTCTGCGAGTAGGTTTAAGGTTGGGTTTAGGTAAGGAAAGGGTCAAAACTGTAACTATAAATGTAATTATAGAAATAATATAGATTTTTTAATATTAGTAGTGTAAAAACATGCTTGTACATAAGTGCATTGTGCTAAATGGTTGGTTAAAAACATCTGAATTAAGTGATGAAAATTCACAATTTTATTTCAATCTAAATTGTGAGATTGAAAGTCACAGTTACCTTTTAATTTTTATTCAGAGACAAAAACAGCCTTCCTGTTACACCTAAGGATATTCTATTGCTGTTGTCTTTGGACTGTGGGGAAAACCGGAGCATGCAGAGGAAACCCATGCAAACACGGGGAGAACATGCAAAATTCACACAAAAACGCCCGCTGACCCAGCCGAGGCTCGAACTAGTGACCTTCTTGATGTGAGGCGACAGCACTATCTACTGCGCCACCACATCACCTATGTGCTGAATGATTTTTCCAATTTACATAAAATGTAACAACAATTAAAGAAGGGTCAGTCTATCTTTTTCCTTGGTCAGAAAAGGTCTTATAAAACTGTTACTCAATGTCTAAATATGTTTTGATTAAAATACAGTAGATCTTAATATTATATTTAAAAATAACATTGTAGATTTTGACATACAGGTCCAGTCAAAAGTTTGGAAACAGATTTATTAATGCTTTAAAAGAAACCAATTCTGCTCTCCAAGGCTGCATTTATTTGATCAAAAATACAGTAAAACGATTTTTAATGACACACACGCACACATGCATAGAGAGAGAGAGAATCATTGTAATTATACTTATTATTATTATTTTCATTACTGTTTTATCCTAAAAATGTACAGTTTATTCTGATCTATTTTTGTATTGATTTGTATGAATAATTAATGTTAAATAATAATATAATATATTGAATATTAATGTGATATATTGAATAATATGATGTATTGTTGATATTTTATTTTATTATTATATATAAATATCATTATCTTTTTTTACTACTATTTACTGTGTGTACTGTTTTTTTTTTATTATATATGTATGTTACTTTTTATGTAAACTTTATAACTGCTTTGGCAATACATTTGTAACAATTGTCATGCCAATAAAGCAATAAATGAATTGAATTGAATTGAGAGAGACAGAGAGGGAGAGAGAGAGAGAGAGAGAGAGAGAGAGAGAGAGAGAGAGAGAGAGAGAGAGAGAGAGAGAGAGAGAGAGAGACGTTTCTGAACTTTGACTGGTAGTGTATATTAATAAAAGTTTCAAGTAGTGAAGCATGACCTATAAAGACACTGATTATTAGTAACGGAACAGCAGTGTACAGTATGCAGTGTGTTTATCAACAGGTATGACGTATGTACACGCGGGCCCTCCTCCTCTCTCTCTCTCCTACGCTCTCCAGCTGTTGCCGCCGCCGCTGCTGCCTGTCTGCCTGGTGACGGTGCGTGCTTGCGTGCGAGTGCGTGCGCGATCTCCTTTCCGCTCGCGCCGTGCTGCTGCTCTTCAATGTAGCAAAGACCATGACAGGTATCGCCGCCGCCTCCTTCTTCTCCAACATTTGCCAGTTCGGGGGCTGTGGACTGCACTTCGAGTCGCTGGCCGAGCTCATCGTGCACATCGAGGATAATCACATCGGTAAGTGTGCCCGCGGAAGCACAATCTGTGCCGCTGAAGCGCGCGCAGCAATGGCCGGCTCGCGCGCACCACACTCACTTCCTGCGTCGCAGCGGCACCGTTGCTAGGTGTGGTGAAGCGATGGGACTTCACCAGTATATGCGTGATTTCCTGAAGCTTTTGGGCGGTCGATAGAACAGGATAGAGGTGAATTCGGGGTTTGTTAACCCCCTTCAAAGTATACATGATGTGAACGTATAAACGCAAGCGATAGTGTTGCGGTTTGAATGTTATTTACCGCGCAAGGCCCGCAGACACGGAGCTGTTGCGGTTCTGTGTTCATCTCATCCGCTCAGAGCAGCTCATAAACACTGAATATGCATCGAGAATGCAGATCTTAATCCCACAGAAGTGACCAAATACGTGTTAGCTAATGCTTCACAAGAGCTTCCTTATTGTGGAAAAAGGTAACGGGATTGCGGGGATGGTAATGATCATATGCGTCATTATGTGCACTCATTAACATAACGTCACTAATGCTGCACTAAAACACCAAACGACCACTAAACAGTTAGCAGTAGCTTATCAACATTAACGGTACACGAAAGTGTGTGTTGAGTAATAGTTGTACTATAATGGCATATTACATTACTTGGATTTCAGAGCTTCTGATTTCATCACACGATTATGTTAGAGTAAGAAATTAATGATGATTGTGGTTTTAAGGTTAACAGTAACTAAGTTAGACACATTACAGCTGTGGCATATCGTTATAATAATTATAGTTACAAAAATGATAAGAAATAAAGTCACAGGTAGCTTATAATCACCATGTAGAAGAAGAAGAAATCACAATTAAAAAGTATAAAGTTGCAGTTGCAATAGACATAAATGCATAGTTCACCCAAAACTGACAATCCTGTTATAATTTACTCACTCTTGGTTTGTTCTAAACCTGTTACCTGAGTTACTTTTTTTCTGTATAACACAAAAGAAAATACTTTGAAGAAAGCCGGAAATCTGTATCCATTGATTTTCATAGTATTGGTCTTTCCTACTTATGGAAGTGGTTACAAGTTTTCAGCTTTCTTCAAAATATCTTCTTAAGATGATTAAAAAAAAAAAAAAAAAGAAAATCATAACGGTCTGGAACCACTTGACAGCAAGTAAATAGTAAGTTTAGTTTTTTGAAATATTCCTTTAAAATTGAAATGAAATGTAATGACATTATTTTTTGTGATTTTAATGTCATTATTTTTAGTATAATGTTGCACTACACTGCCATTCAAACATTCATGGTCAGACTAATTTGTTGTTTTAATTAATAATTATTGGTGTAAAAGAAGTTCCATAGTCACCAAAGCCAAGTCACCATTTTATTAATGCATTGGCAACCTTTTTACCAGCCATTACTCCAGTCTTTAGTGTCACAAAATCTTTAAAATATCTCAATAATATGCTAATATCAATAATATTATAACTTGTATAATTATAATATAATAATATTTACAATACTATATTTGTGTGTGTGTGTGTGTGTATACATATATATTTATATACATACATACATACATACATACATACATACATACATATGTAAAGAAAAATATTTGTTGTATGTTTAGTACTGTTTTTGGTAAACAATGTAATAGAATTTAATTGAAATAGTTTTTTTTTTTTTTTGTGACAACGTACAGCCTTTACTAAGTATAATGCATTCCAGCTAAATAAAAGTAGAACTTACTTTTATATAACTTGAAAGAACCAAGTGCAACTTGGTTTAAAATAAATTATTTTGTATTGTTAATTGCCTTTGTTTTGCCTATGTCCTATGATGCATCATAAAGCAATAATGGCATATCCAAAGAAATTGCATTACTGCTGAGAAGGCTTACTTTAGTCTGTGTTATGTCTGTGTTGAAGCACAGGTAATTAAATGAAGACGCTTTTATCTGGTTTTTGAGTGGATTTTATTATTTGCAAGTGCAGATCTAGGTTATACGGTTGCTTTGCAAGAGCCTCTCAGGGTGTGATTTGTTGTCGTTCTGGAGCAGGGGGTTGCACTGGGGTCAGGAATCCCTTTGAGAGCCAACCTGCAGAACTCTTGTCCTGCAAAACAGATGCATCAGGTCAAGACTCTTCATGGATTGCATTGCTTTACTGAATCACAATCAGCTGTTTTTAAAGGTTTGATTCAGTGCTGGGTGGTAAAATCGGTATCAGTATTTATTGACTGAATACCAATATAATATTTGATATGAAGGTTTGGTATGAAGCGCTATAGTTTTATTAAAATGTGGCTGCTTAGCGTGTGCCATGGAAGCAATGGCAATAAGCTTAGGGTGTAAGTTTGTAATTTCCAATGGAGGCGCACGATTTGCACGACGCGTGTATAGTGCTTTATACTTTTCTCCATAAACTTGCCATCCTCTGACTTGCCATCCTCGATGGTTGCTTAGTTACGTGAGCTCGTTACATGAGCTCCAGAGACACAGAGCAGTGCACAGCTTTATCAAGGTTGTACCACTGGATCGCGTCTCACTATAGTTGTCAAATGTGATATTCAGACATCCAAAGTCTCCCGGAAGTTATGGGAGTCTCTATGCATTTGCGGGACTCATAATGCCTGTAAACAAGTGATAATCTCCTGGAAATCGCGTGTCTCCCTCCCGTTCCTCAAATAAATCACGCACCCTTCTCACCCCCGGATTCCTCCTCGCTTTTCAGACATGTTACGCGAATTCTCTTGCGGGGCATTATGAGATAGCATAGCATACATGGCATGCTCATTTCAGAATCTCGCTGGAAGTAGTAGGTCATCCTGGTACTTCTCGCATACTAGTTTTCAAATTCTATGAATTCGGACATAATACTAGACTAGCAATTTGATTTTAGCGTACTATGTAGTATGGAGGTATGCAGTTTCGCATGCAGCCATTGGGCAAAATAATTTAGCGGATGTTGTTTATGCTTTAAGTCCGCATAAATTGGATGCCGTGACCTTTTATTTTGTATTGTGACAGTTGCTAGCGAAACAGAATATTTAATTAGAAAACAGTGGGCGTGGCTTGTGTTTTTTCTAGTGCAAGCTGATTGGATGTAGTAAAGAAGGCATTTTTATCAGTAAGGGCTTCAGGTGAGTTATTACAAACCTAACAGACTCCTCCTCTTTACTATTTTGGTGTGTTGTTATAGTGCTGTCAGTTAACTGACAGTTGGAGGGGCGTGGTTAAAAATGTTAGCCACGCCCAGTACCTCAGACAGAAGTAATCTGAGAATTTAACTGAAAACAAACAGGAAGTGCATTTTTTAGATTTAAATTTTAGATTACAAGGGCAAACTATTAGTTTTTTCTTAATGACTTGCACAGATGAATTGTTCACCACAAAACTAGCAATGTGAGCTAACAAAATCAGTATAGTTAGATCTGATTTCATGTGCAGTTTGAGTGAGATTGCAAACTAACAACTGACTTAAGAAGTAAAAAATTGTAATCATAATCAAAACCACTTAAAATAATGCTAAGATCACTGCATGTGCTCTTTTAATCGTGATAAGTGAAATGTGTTGCACAAAGCAAGCAGTGCTTTCTGGTGTTGTGGGCTACTAGATACACAGAAATAGAGTGAAAGTAAACATGGAGTGACTGCAGGGCCTCAGAGTGAAGTCGAGAAATGTAGTAATAACAAGAGATGGAATGCTGGTTTGCTTCGAGTACAACTGAAAAATGATATCACATACCTGTCTGTTATAGTCTGAATGCAGTCTTCATAGCTCTTTAATTATGATAATCTTTGTAGCCTCAGAATGATACAGTATCTTTCGTTAGGGTCTCTGTGGTGCTGATGATTATCTCAGTCATCTGTAATTTAACACCGGTGGACTACCTGTCTAATAGACTCTAGGCTGAACAGAGTGGATTTGAAAGGAGAAACCTGATTTTTGGAGACAAAGCGCCCCTCTACCTCTCCTTTCCTGCTGACTGATGGTCCCTGTTAGTTCAGCTGGTCTGTGAGAGGGAGGTCAGTCTGGAGAACTGGTGGAAAACATCAGTTCAGTCAGGCGTTTTAGCCCGAGGTGATTTCTGCTGTCCATATTACACACTATAAACACAACACGGCTGCACAAAACTGCCAGTGCAAATGTAGTTTTTCTGCAGTATACCCTGCAATACAAAAACATGCTGGAGTTTTGAAAATCTGATGGCTTCAATTGCTTTATTTAATATATAATCCTCAAATTAGTTCATCGGAAAATCAAGATAATAGAAAAAAGCTGAGAAGTTACTTAACAAGTGGGGGTCACAGGACAATGAGGGGGGTTCTCTTTTTAAATTAATATAATCGAACTTTTAGAATGACCATATTTTATCCATAACCTACTGACAAACAAAAAAGTAGTTAATAGTAACATTATTATTAATAAGCATAAAAATCAGCATGCAAATAAAAAGCCTTTCGATTTATTATTATTGTTATTTTTTGTTATATTAAAGACACAGCAATAGAGTCAGATGCAACAGATTGATTTTATGGCACCAGGTTAAAGTGTCTGACACCTTTACAGCCTCACATAAATTAAAAATAAATACAGGACACAACTAAATATAAAGGATGGTTTTCGGGTGGCATTCTCAAAATTAAGCTATAAATAGACTTGGGCCTATTGGTATGTGTGCCAATGTGTACAAGGTTTATATATCTATAACCACCTCAGAGAATAATGGGGGTCGCGAGTCACTTGGATTGTTATTTTGGGGGTCGCGGGCAGAAAATTTGAGAGCCCCTGACTTAAAAAACCTTTTAAATGGCAAAAACTGCAATTTAGGAAGAGCATTGTATTTTCTCTTTTTTATATAATTTTTATTATTATATATATTTTTTTACCTTTATTCGGAAACGACAGTAGAGGTTGCAGACAGGAAAGTTTTGGGAGCAGAGAGAGGGGTAGGGATCTTGAGCCGGGAATCGAACTCGGGTCACCGTGAGCACCATGGTGCTATTTGTCGCACTCTTAACCGC